TGAGATGTTTTCATATGAACTTCAAAAAATGAGAAAGTGATTACCAAAGTTTCTCATTTAATGTTTTCAGAAAATGAAATTTTTGATAAGTAAGAAAGAGATTTCCAAATTTTCATACCCAGTAAACTATTTCCCAAATTGGTAAGTCCTTCGGGCCATTAGTAAGTCTTTCGAGCATGATGCTTAAATCCTTCGGGTCATCTGTCAGTCTTTCAAGCAAGATGATAAGTCCTTCGGGCCATCTATAAGACCTTCAGGCAGGATGATTTCACATGATTTGAAAAATGGGAAAGTGATTTCCAAAGTTTCTCATTTAATATTTTTAGAAAATGAAATTTTTGAAAAGTAAGAAAACGATTTCCAAAGTTTCTTACCTAGTAAATTATTTCCAAAATTAGTTAAGTCTTTCGAGCATCATGATTAAATCCTTCGGGTTATCTGTCGGTCTCACTTGAGACAGAGTCGGGACGAAACAATACAAAAATGTGTAGTCTTTTGTCTTATTCTTGTTAACACAAGCATGGGCAAAGATGGGCAGCTGTAGATACTCGTTTTGTCCGGGTTATTATTAATATTATTAACTTATTATTATTATTATTATCATTATTATTACTAATATTATTATTTCTTTTCATATTACAGTTGGCCCAAACCCATATTACAAGAGCCCGCAACTGGTTCCAATTACAAAGCCAAACAAGTCGGTCCACCCGGTTCTAGCCCAACAACCCAAAGCCCAAGATGAAGCTCACATGACCCAAACTAATTACGGTTTCTACTGAATGTCTCTAGCGTCACGCCTTGGGAGCCGTTAGATCTGGTGTTAGAACCAACGGTCCAGATCCCATCAGATTAGGGGTTTTTTCCCCTAAAGGAGCCACTACCTCCATCAACCGAAGCCACGTGAGCAGCCGCCGATCACTCCCCATGCCGCCATCTCAGCTAACAGTGACAACCAAATCAGAAAAACAAATCAATCAATCAAACAATTTAGAAAAAAATAATAAAGAATCACCCACTTGCAAGCATGAAATCCCGAGTAAAATCGGTACCTGTCACAAGCAGAAATAGGGCACTCATGCCCTATGATTCGAGAACCAAGCAAGTCATCATCAAATCCATCAACATGCAAGCATATTAAAAGAATGGCAATAAGGAAAAAAAGGGAGGAACGGGAAAAAAAGAACAGAGAGAGATGGGAACAACACAAAAAAATGATTTTTGGGGAAAACCAAAGAGCCCCTTTCGAAAGGAAAAAGAAAGAAAGAAAGAAAGAAAGAAAGAGGATGAGAGAATAAAAATCTTACCATCTCCAGTGTCATCGAGATCCAAACGTTGCCGGAAAGCGGTGCCTTTTTCAAAGGTAACAGCTTCGAATCTCTTAGATCTAGGACAAGGGAAGGGGATTTAGGTTGAGTAAGGTTTATTTTTAGGGTTGCTGGAGAGTTGGGCTTTATTTTAGGGTTGTTTTTTTTATCCAACCACCGTGGACGGTGACAGAGGACTCCGATGAACAGCGGTCGATGGCTGCCGGCCTCCCCCGACGAGGGAGTTTAGAGAGATGCCAAAGTGAAAATATTTTCACTCTTTTTAGAGAGAGAATGAAAATGGGAAAATGAGAGGTTTGGCTTATTTTTGGGATGGTTTAGTGTTTATATACTAGAAACAAAATGATGTCGTTTGGGGGTGTCTATGTTTTAGGGCTTAGGTAAACCCCGTCTTGGGTCTCTCTATCTTTGTAAACTTCTGATTTGGTCACTAAACAAGAGTTTCAATTTTTATGTTTTAATATCTATATTTTTCTAGCTTTATATTTTAGTCACTATGTGTATATTTGATGTTATTTGGGTAAATTGTTCGAATGGGTCTTTAAATCCTTGAAGTTGCAATTTTAATCCCTTGTAATATGCTATTCAAGTTTCTGATTTTACCTCCCTTATTACGCACGTTGTATTTTGGTCACCATAAGCTATGCATTTTTTATTATTTTAATTTTCGATATGTAATATTTAATTATTCCATTTTGGTCCCAAATATATGGGTTTATTACACTGTCATTGCTTGTAATGTTTGATTCTTGTATTATATGCTTTGTTATTTATTTGATTTGTATTGGTTGCCTTGATTTCATTTTAGTTTTATAGTTTAATACCTTAAGTCACGATATTTATTATTTTGATCCTTCGTTTACATGTTTGTTAATTTCTTGTTAATTGTAATATTTTTAAATATTATTTTACTCGAGAAATTTATAGAAACGCACCTTAACTGACAATGAGTGTGTTTCCAAGAATTGTTAGAATAAAATAATATGTTTTATTTTCGAATGAATTTTTTTAATATATTTAATATATGTATTTTATCTATGTATTTAGGTAATATTATTTTGTATGGAAAATCCAAGGAAATGCTCCCTTAACAGACAAAGAAGGTATTTCGAGAATTGTTCGTGCAAAAATAACAATCTTTATATTTTTTTCTAAAAAAGGATCATAATTTAAATGTCATTCGAATTTGCCAATTTCAATATTTAGATGATGTATAATCGTTTAGGTATCGATTTCGGGCGTTGTGGGGTGCTAATCCTTTCCCACACGTAATCGACTCTCGAACCCTTTTTCAAAATAAATTTATGGTTAAACGCATATCATTTTTTATCTTTTAAAATTATTTTTCTTAAAATTATTTTAAAAGATATTTTTAGGTATTTAACATACCTAACTAACCCAAAGGTCGATGGCAACTCCGAAAATATTTATTTGTTTTATTTTGAAACCCAACATTTTTCTAAGATTAAGTTGGATCGATCCCCACCATAGCTATAAAAAGTTTAAGGACCGTTCCGACAACAGGCAGTAGGACAGATTAATCAAAAACTGACTTTGTTCTCATAGTATCTTTGTCCTTAACAAGAATGGTCTGCACTTCCATAGGTGGTTGGAGCAAGATCGAAAGGCCAAAGTCCATTCTTCGACCGATCTGTGCCAGAGGATCAACTAGTTTGTTTCAGTCACGCGGGATATGGATAAACAAGAGTTGCCACGGTTGAATTATCCATCTCAACCACCAACTGCCTAATACCTTGATTCCAAGCGATGTCTAGGTCATCTAATAGCACCCATAGTTCAGCATGGTAAGCCGAACATCGACAAATGTTCCTTGAGTAGCCCGCGATCCATTCTCCTTTATTGTCCCTGAGCGCTCCACCGCCAGATGCTGCCATTGTGGTCGACTTCGAAGCTCCATCGATGCAAAGAAAGACTGCGCCAGCACGGATCGTTCTTTTGTAAGAGTTCCTATGACACTGATCTTGATCCGTTGAAATAATGAACTTACGATGTTACATTTGGATTAATGAACAACCCAATACGACATATCATAAAATTTTTACTTTTAAAATTCAAGAAAATCTAGATATAGAAACATATCATCATTCATGACTTTAATGTAATAAAACATTTATAGCAAAAGGTAAAGCTCTAAATACAAATGAGTTTACACAAATGATCCAATAATTCAAAACTTGTACATATTCAAGACTAACCTACGACTAGGTCCACATAAATACGTATATTTTTATAGAAGATTAGTATTGTACTCTAAATATGGTTGTTAGAATTTCTTTAAGACGGTGCCATGATCTACAATCTACTTTTCTAGAAAATGATAAACAGTCAAAGCTACAAGAACTCAGTAATACACAATCATTTTAAAGCAGCTCATATAATCATAAATATAAACGAGTAAGTGCATCAAAGGAAGAGTTATTTCAACCTTGCCTTTCACCTTGAACGATTATCTATATCGAGATTTATCGAGTATACCATAAGCATACATATCCCTAGACCGTATTTGATTGTTTGGTACCATTAATGGCCATATAACATTCAATGCCACAGGCCGTTTAGTCAAACTAGTCATTTATCAAGTTCATTCTTTCGTTTTTCGTTTCCATGCGAGTCACTATAATTCAATTCTCATTTATCAAGTTATAGAAGCATGTGTTGCTCAATCAAGTCTCAATCCATGTTTGTTCAGCCTAATAGTGTATTTGAACAACTTAAACAAGCTAAGTGGTCTTCTAAATCCAATAGGTATCGATATTTTTATATGGGTATCGATACACAACCTTAAGGTATCGATACAAAAAATAAGATTGATGTTTTAATAATTCTTATGGGTATTGATACCCTTATACAAGTATCGGTACTCACATCTTAGGTATTAATACCCATCTGAGTAATTATACCAATTCCAATTGAGAAATTTTATCAAAATAATTGGGTATTGATACCACCAAACTGGTATTGATATTACCTTGTTGAGTGCGATACTCACCTAAAGTATCAATGCTAAATTTGACCACAATGTTTGAATAATTTTCTCTGGTATAGATACCATCCTTTAGGTATCGATGCCATGTGAAAAATATTGATACCGTGTAATATAGATACTCCAAGCTACTTTTATCTAGAATTCTTCACATATTCAAGAAGTATCTATTCTAAGACTGATTATAAGGCCACAAACATCTTTTATGCATAATTTATCATCAATAACAAGCGTTTCTAACGTTAAATCCATCTCAACAACATCAATTCATGCATTATATTCTAGCACACATTTTATTCTAATACACATATTTAACTTTAAGTGCACATTCTAATGAAATATCAACATATGAAATATTATTTATGAAATATAAACATATGAAATATTGAGTGAGAAAATGTAATAATATTTTTTTTCCAAAAAATATGTAGTTGGTGAGAAAATCGAGTCAAATGAGACAACAGATTTTTATCTTAAAATTTGAGATGAATTTAGAATTGAGTGAATTCTAGGTCAACGCAATAAAATCTTTATCCCATTTCTGTTATTCTCCTCAATTTGTTTATAAGATATATAAATTGTTATAATATTATAACATATAGAATATATATACAAAATAATATCAATTTTGTAATAACTATGAAATAAATAAAATAATATATACTATCTTTTAGCAAAGGGATGCAATTTTATTCAATAAAACCAGACAGAGAAAACGAGTATAACATAGTCTCCCGCGCACACAAAATAAAAAAGAACGCAGTCCCCACAGGCATACATATGCAGATGATATAGTTAACATGTTACACGCTTTGGACAAGCTTATTTAAGTGCTTAAAACTCCGATCGACCTTCTTCCACTGGCAGCTCTTCCACCACCGACACCAAATCCGACTTTATACGGGAGTTCCTGACGGAGCAATTAGCCCGAATTTCGCCGTTGTTGCCGGTCAACACGCTCAACTGCCCCATCTTTATCATCGCCACCGCAAACTTCTCGAAGAAGAGACTCTGATTGACGGCGAAGCTAGTAACAATGCCCCTCGTCCTACTATCGGTGTACAAGTCTTGGTCGGATGTAAACAGTCCTTGTCGGTTAAGGAGATCGACGTAATATTTATTGTCGAATATGTTAGGGCTCCTTATGTCCATCACCGTCGTGTTGGTGGAATTTGCCGTCGGACAAATCACCTTAAGGTTTCTGGCGAACGTTTGGTCCATGGTGGGGTCTTGGTTAGGGTATAGCCGGGGAGTGAAAGAAGTGCAATGGCTTAGGCCGATGGTGTGGCCACCGGAAAGAGCCACGACGTCCGTCGGGTCGAAATTTTTTGTCGCCAGCATGGAGAGGATGGTGGTAGTGTTGGCGAAGGGCGGCGGTAAATTCTGTAACGTTGCATTGATGGTGGCGAAAGTCAATCCATCTCTTCTTCCCAATGGTACACCATAATACGGACCTCCCGACTGTGAATAGGAACGAAAATAATATTTTATATTAGAAGAGATAAAATTGTAAAAATTTAAAAGATAAAAAATAAATTTTTAATAAAAAATAAAAATCTAAAATTTTCAAGAAACAACTAGACTTATCTGTACCTCCATCATCCCTGACCAAGAAGAACAAGTCAAAAGTTTTTATATCCATTTTATATCATATATATAAAATGACATTCATATATAACGACATCATCTTTAAAATTTTACAAATAAATTCATCTTTAAATGACAAATGAGTCGGTAAGGTTCGTGGAACTTGCACATGACACATGTTGACGAAGAAACCTTCTATGATAAATTATATACAAAGATTCTTAAGTTGGTCCACATCAATCATTTAATAATTAGATAAACATTATTACAAATCATAAATATTACTTAAAAGCATTCAAAATATGATTTGATATGAAAAACAATACTAATAGATTGCTTTTAATTTTAATTTATACGAATTTATATATTCTAATATCATGTATCCTATTTAAAACCTATAATTTAAAATTTAGATTTTAATTTTAAAACTTACAATTTAATAGTCTAAATGTTAGATTTTAAAGTTGAAACCGTCCATCTATGTAAAAAAAAAAAGATTCTTTAAATATATTATGTGTCAATACATATCTAAACTGTATTAAAATTTCTATAAATATAATAATAAAATCAAAAAGTAATTCATCAGTCTATTATTAAAAGAATTGAATGAAAGGTCCAATGTACAACTACTTTCACCTAAGCGTTAATAATTTTAGGCTTTATGATACCAATAAATTGACACATGCACCCATTATTGAACATATGGTACAAATTCAGACCCTCAGGCCCCATACTAAGAAAAAGGTTATCAAGCCGTCTGCCACACTCCCCCTTCTAATTTCAATTATCCCTTCAAGAAATATATCTCATTAGTCAATTTTGTCCGGACAAAATGTTCTTCTCTTATTGAGTCTTGTTTTTCTTTTACTTTTTATATCTATTTGAGATTTGTAGATACGATTTAGAACAATATTATTTTATAACTATCCATTTTTAATTTATTGATTAAGTAATTTAGATTTGATAGTGTAGAAATAAAGATAATATCAATTTAAATTTTTTTTTAATCTATTTATAGAGCTCGCACATCCGGCATATCTAGTTACTCTAACTCAAGAATTTTAGAGAGATAATTTTTCCTTTTAGTAGGGATATTATTTTAATCACTTGATAAAAAGTAAAAAACGTAAAAAGTAAAAGGATTTACAAAATATTGGACGAATATTTATATTAAAAAACGTATTAGTGATTGATGATACCAAGTAAACTGATTCACGAGCAGCAAGAGCAACGATATCAGCACAGGAGACGACTCTCCCACAAGCGTTTTCGATGCGGTTGCGCAGTTCGTTGATGATCTGAAATGCCCTAGCCCTCAAGGTCAGATTGGGCGGAGCTTGCTGCTCTCCCGGCCCACTTGCCGATCCGTCCAACAAGACCGACGCGTCGCATCCCTAATAGAAGGTGAAACCAATCAAAATCAGGGATTTAGATTGTAGTTGTGGTCTTTTTATCGCAATTGCTGTAATAACAGGTGCTATTGTAGTCATTTCAGGTATCGCAATTATCCAATAACAGTTTGGCTATTCCAATAGTTAATTGACTGCTATTCAAATCCTCGAAACCATCAAATAAACATCATATATTTCCATAACCTACCTGGACAAAGCAGTCATGGAAATGAAGACGGAGCAAGCCGGCAGCTTGGCCAATGTCGCTACTGAACACCGACATCAAGTAGTTCCGGATAATGAATTCGACAGTGGGACATGTGTTTTGATAGAATGTCCATGACAGGCCGCTCACGATCGGAACCGACTGGTCGACGGTGGCCTCCGATAAGGATAAGTAAGGACTACCAAGCAAAAGAGAAGATATCAAAAGGAAAGCAATGGAAGATTTAGTAGCTACAGCCATGTCTAGCTTCTTGGTGTTTCTTTTGTACAATAGACTATGCAGAGCGTGGTCTTATTTATAGCCTTTTTCAAGTCGCTCATTAAGAATCAATACAAAATTAAGATGGATTAGTTACACTAGCTCTTAATAATAATAAAAATCCTATCCTTAATTTCATTAATACCCGTGGTTAACCATGACATTAAATTTAAAAAAAACTAATTTAATTTTTTTAACAACCATCAAAATGATTTTTTTTATTTCTTTAGAGTTGAATTTGGCGTCGTCTTAACTAATTAAGATGACATTTATTTATTATCATGTTGAACTTCCTGCTTTGTACTCTCAAATTGGATTTAGATACGTTGTTTGTGTTCGAATATAGTTTTCTCATGACTCTCAACTCCGATATGCGATTGTTGGTGATCTTTCAATAGTTTGATCTACTATTGTGGTTCTCTTGTCGATATATTTAGATATTTTTGTATCTATATTTTTGTTCAATTATTTTAATAGATTTTTAACATTTTTTCTTGTATATTCCTTGAATGATCTCAAGTGGCTAGTTTCTTGTGTCAACGATTATATGAAATGTCCTAATTGTGTGTTTAGTTTACATTTGTCATTGTGATCCTTCATTACAATTTTAGATTTTTTATTTTTAATAAAAACTAACTACTTATATTTGTATTAAAAAAATATTTTTAGGAATCATTATATATATAAGGAAAAATTAAAAAAGTTGAAGGATCATAAAATAAATTTTCCAAAATTTTGAGAGCCAAGGCTCCTCTGATCCTTATATGCTCAACCCGGTCAATTAATGAACTATAGTTCTTGTTTTTAAGGCTTTAAAATTAGGATAAATTACGTGTTTAGTATCTAAACTATCAATTTTGGTCTGTTTTAATATGTAAGCTTTCAATTTTTTTCAAAATTATGTCTAGCATTTTGTTTTTATTTAATTTTAGTATCCGTTAAAAATTTAACGTTAAGTTTTAAACAAAAATTGAAAGTTTAGGTTCTAAAATGGACCAAAACAAAACTGATAGTTTAAGTATTAAAAGCGTGTTTAACCATGGGTACTAAAATGAAACAAAAATTAAGCGTTAGGCATGATTTTAAAAAATTGAAAGTTTAGGTGCTAAAACGGACAAAAACTGATAGTTTAGATACTAAGCGAGTAGTATACCCTTAAAATTATTATGATTATATCAATAGTTATAAATTAAATAAAACATCACAATTATTTAAATAAATTTTAAATAAATTATTATAATAAATTTAGATTAAAGAAATATATAATTAGATTTAAATTGAAAATCTCAAAATTTTTGAAACATTTTTTGAGTAAGTTTATGTTTAATAACTTTTTTTTTCTAAGTTTGGTAGGTAAAAATTATACTTTCTAATGTTCTATATTAAGAATTTTTCAAATAATTCATGGATATACGTGCAGTAGACTTCTGGGGTAAAGAAAGACTTGTGCCACAAGTCATTATAAAGAATCAAATTGTTAGAAAAAAATAACTAAGTTGTTTAGACTTTTGAATAAGTAATCAATGAAATTAAAAAAAAAAAAAAAAAACACACAAGCTGTAAGGTCAAAACAATATGTTCACGTCTCATTAAATAATAACATGTGATTTAAACATATTGCTGGAAAAATAAGTATATATCCTAAAAGATTATTTTTTATAAATAGTAAAATAAATATAAACATATTTTAATTATATATAATACATGTCTCTTTCTCAGTTTTATATATGTAATAAAATATCTAGAAGTGTATTCGAGGAACAGTATTCCTTCACACATGGTCAAACTTGGCACCCAAGGGTATATGCTATTAGGTAAATATTGTTGGATTAAAATCTATAATTGTAGACACATATTTATATTATATATTATTATCATAAAATATGAATAAATTAAGTGACCAATTAAATTATAAACTCACAAGATATTAGAAGTGTCATGAAAATAAAAGTATAGATATTATTAAAGTTGTATTTATAATTCGATAAGGGATAGAGTTATAAGTATTGACAATAATTGATTCTTAAATCATATATATAAAGGGGTTATGGAACTCAAAAAATAGTTAATCTCGTATTTTACTCTTATCCACATCACAAAGTTTATACTCAAAAGAATTATATATTCTTGAAATATCGAAACCAAAGTAAGATTCAAGTATTTCAACATATCAACTAATTCAGGTACGTTTTTGTATTTTATATTTTGTTCTTGATGATTTAGCATGTTTAGATCCTGATTTATTTTCATATTTATTATGATTTTGATTCTAACAAGTGGAATCATCGCTTGTCATGTTGAATCATTGAGAATCGATTTTTTTTTCTAATTTGATTTGCTCCTAAAATTTAAAGGGTTAGATATTTGATTTAAGGTATATTATATTTAGGGTATAACTCTTTATTTTTTTATGCCTTTCATGAGATTACTTTGCGATTATAAAAAGAAACCCCTTTGATGCGTATTATAATTTTCGATGATTATGTCGATTGCATATTTCCATGTTATTAACTCCATCGATTTAGGCTTTATAGTTCTTGTGCGTTAACATTTGTAACGAATTTAGCTTTCAAATTTGAACAGTTTTACATACTAATAACGGCCATTATGGTAATTTGCATGAAATTTACAATTCATGCCATTGTTAATGCAATTAGTTTTCTTTTAGCATGTATTAATTCAGTTTACAGAGCGGTTAATACATCGTGTTTAGGAATTTTTTTCCCTTTATCTCTTTGATTTCGATTAATATGAGTCTTATGTATGGAAAAATATGATTGAAATTTGGATATTTCGATTTTTGATTTATTATGAAATTTGTATCATGATAAAATTAGGGTTATAAGAAACAACTTTTGGATTTTGTTTTGCAACTTTGTAATCAATTATAATGATAATAATTGATTTTTATGTCATGATATTTTGAATATAGCATTCGATTAATTATGAAGTTGTTTTTGATTTCTTATATCATGTTTTGGTTTAATTTGGTGGATCCATAATTAAAAAAATTCTTGAGAAATAGTCAAAATCTAGGTTTTCGGTTTCTAATAACGTCTTTTAGACAACTTTATTATGGGTTACTCTAGAAACCAAGACGTGATTAGAAAATCCAGTTTTGATTTTTGACTGTTATAGAATATATATTTAACATTGATATATTCGATTCAGTTTGATTTTAATTTTTTTTAATCTTTGAAAAAAATTATCTCATTATTATGCACTTTGATTTTTGTCTTTTCGTTAAATATTGATTATTTTAAATTTGGTTTGCCTTTGGTAATTAATTTAGTTTTATATTAAATACATGTTTACAGATTTCTTCAAAAACAGTAAAAAACTTGAATTTCTATTTTTTCTGATAGCACTATTTATGTAACCTTATTTTGGGTTATTTCGGATAATGTAGTGCAATCAGAAATTTTGGTTTTAACCTTTGATTTTTATGGAAATATTAAATTTGAATATTTATATTTATTTTGAGGCAACTTAATTAAGCAATAACTCATTAAAGTGATCCCATTTATGAAAAATATTTTATTTCAAAATATAAAAGGTTATGTGCATGTACTTAGGATATGTTAATAGTGACCGGCCCAAAGGAAGATTAATAGTTGCCATAATTGCATGAAAAACTTTGGTAATAAGCATGTGATAATTATTCAGTTTGATATGTGAGTAATAAATCGACCCAAATGAAGATTTTTTTACTTGACATGTTCTTATTATCAGTGTTTGGTTACCACATCATATATCACTTAAGGTGAATATTTTGTCTAAAGAAGAAATATTAATGTAGTATCTGATATCTTGATATGAGGTTTAAGTGTATTTAAATTTATTATTATTTTGGTTATCTTTCAAGTAAATTGAAATATAAAATTAAGGTAAATTGATTGGTTGACAATATTTATATGATTTTATTTATATTGTTAATGCATTATATGTATATATATTATATTCGATTTTGCAATTTTGATTGTTGGTTATTAGAATATATATATATATATATATATATATTGAAAAAAATTAATTAATAAGATGACTAGGTCTGATATTTTGATAGATTAGTTGAAACAGAATGCCACCAAAGTGAGACCTCTTATTGTGTAGGCTGATTTACTTAAAATATCAAGATGATTATGTGTTTCTTGTGATTCATGCATTTATTAATTGGCCCAAAGGAAAGTTAATATTTGGTCGGATTTCAAGCGACACCTGTGCTAATAACATGTGACAATTATAAGGTATTTTTTATGTGAGCATTATATTAGTCCAAAGAATAATATTTTTTCGACATAATTTATTGTCAGTGTTTGATTACTACAACAAGAGTATCGTTTACTGTTATTATTATTGTCCAAGAACTTGATATTGATGTAGTGTTTAGTATCTTGTGATGGAATTAGCCATTATTTTGAATTTATTGTTTTCTTATGCGAGCTTGTTGTTTATTTTCTTCATCTAGTTCTTTTTCTATCACAATTTCTTCTAATATCAATTTTATTATTATGCTTAATGGGGATAAATTTCAATGAACGAGAAAATTCACTTACATAAGGTTTTGGTTCTATGAACATAGAATTTGCACTAAGGAAAGAACAATTTCCACATCTCGTCGGGGATAACATCCTTAATTGGATTTTGAGAGGTGAAATTTGTTTAAATTGCATAAATCTAGTGGTCATGAAGCAAAATATTTTAGAAGCCTTAGTGGTATATAATCTGAAAAGATTAGTAATGCTAATAGTTTCTATGACGAAATTGAGAAATGTTTTCCCAATAAAAAAGGTTTAAATGACATCACTTTTGTATTCGTTAATGTCTATAAAGTATTAGGGTCAAGGAAATGTGAGGGAGTACATTTTGGATATGTTTCATTTTGCTTCAAGAGTTAAGAAACTTAAGATCGAGTTTTTCTGAATAATTACTTGCTCTTTGTTGACACCGTTTTTTGCTCGGGCGGGGAAAGACCGATATCGACTCAGGTTTTCTTTGA